ACTACACTATGCCCACAACTGTTTGTCCCAGAATTGGGGAATTGGGAGTGTCAGCTTCAATTTGAAATGCAAAATTACTGTAATTTTTCAGACACTTTCCTTATTAACTATTGCTGGATGGTGAAGATCTTTGCCTAGACTCCACAGATCCCTAGAAGTTTCATTAAATGGGTTACGTGAGGTTGACAGTTGCTTTCTTGGAAATGCCAGTTCCTGGATGTTCTTATCTATGATGATTGTGACATCACTAATTAATGCTTCCAAAACAGTGTTAATATTTGAGTGTGTAGCATGGAATGTGTGCCCATTTATTTAGTTTTAAAAGAATTTTCTAGGGMCTGGAACTATATATAGCTCAGTGGTAGAGCATCTTCCTTGCACATGTGAGGCACTGGGTTCGATCCTCAGCACCATATAAAAATAAATAAAGATATAGAAAAAAATGAATATAAGTATTAAAAAAAGAATTTTCTATATGGTTTATATAAACAAGGCTAATTGTGATTGCATATATGCCTCTAAAAAGTAGCTCTCCAAATTCATCTTAGGTGATAGAAACATTAACATTGGTTTTAGAGCACACCGGTTAACACTGGTCTATGACTGATAATTTGAGACTTAATTGATGAACTTTGACTTGACAGGCTTAGTATGAAGTAGGTATTTCCAAGATATATACTGAATTTRGTTACCCAGTATGTGTGTTGAAAGAGATTAGTTTGTTTTGATAGTGTTAATTACATATGTGAAGCATAACACAGCCATATAGAGATTATGAATGTACCATGCTGGCCCTGGAGCTAACTGTCAAATAATGTATTTTTTATAATGATGATCCCCTTTATTCAGTATTTAAACAGCTATGATGTTTCAATTCATTTTCATAGTCTTTTCAGTCCAAAACTTTATCCTTGGCATCTCATTACCCCTTCGCTGTCATATATCCCATTTGGACAATTAATRTCTCAACTTCTTGTCTTTATGGTTTAGTGTCTTTTCAGTTAATGCGTTCTTATTCTTGTCCCCTAGACCATTATATCTGTTCTGTCCCTTGTTCATTACATTAGTGMTGGCCCATCCTATCTTGGTGAACCTCTTCTCTTTCCCTCTGATGACTTCTTGGATTTGCTGCCATGCTGTTCTCATAATTTGCACTTCATGAAAATTGTGGGTTGTATTGAGATTTTATCAATTTTTGACAGAAAAGAACTGAAAACTCCTGTTCAGACTCATAATATCTACCACGATGTAGTACTCATTCACCTACTTTCTGTAATACAAATCAAAAAGCCTTTCATTTTTGACTCCCTATTTAAGATTGGGGCTTTCACTTTTATGATTAAACCTTCACGTCCAGGGTGAGAGCCACCCGACATGCTCCTTCTGTTTTGGGGAAAGAAACATGTTACACAGCTCTTAGATCATGCTGCAAAGAATCTCAGGTAGGAAATAGAGTGTAGGAAATGAAGTTTGGGTCAAGGAATATACAGTCTCTGCCACGACAACCAGTTAATGCATGTTTCAGGGTCTGTGTTGGCCAACTTTACAACATTATGAGTTAATGTGGTTCACTGTATTTTCATCGATTGGAAAATGACTTGACATGTAACAGTATCAAATCATTCCTAGGAAAAGGACAATCAAGGGTTGGAGTATACGTATGACAACTTGGTAACTGCTGCCTCTGATTTGTTTGGTGCTGGCACAGAGACAACAAGCACAACACTGAGATATGCTCTCCTGCTCCTGCTGAAGCACCCACAGGTCACAGGTATGAACACAGATGAGGAGCAAGTGAACTGAGAGAGTTGTTGGGAAGAAGTGCTTGGTCCTCACTTGTTTGTCTTAGAGAAGCTTCACTGTTTAGTTTTCTCTGCCACCAAGTGT